AAGTAGCCTCTTGGCTCGTATCTTGATTGGAAAATATTGCCCCATGAGTCATTCTTAAAATGTAAACCAACTACATCCTCTTCTCATGGCTGGCATAGTTTGATGGTGGGACGAGACCTCCTCAATAAGCAGTTAGTGTGGGCTATTGGAAACGGCTTAGCAGTCAATATCTGGAACAATCCATGGCTGTCCTCAATAACACAGAAACTACCTTTTGGACCGGCTGTAAAAGAAACAAAGGACCTCACCGTTTCACATCTTTTCGTACCAAACACAACCATTTGGAATAGAGAAAAGATCGAACACATCCTGCCTGCTCATGTATCAGAGATCTTGAGCATAAAGCCGAGCCAGATGGGTGCACCGGACAAACTGGTATGGTTGGGCAAAGATACAGGAAAATACACGACGAGAACGTGCTACTTTATAGCTGTGGAGAGGGGAAAAACAGAGGAAGAACAACAGAGCACTACCAGCTTCAATTGGATCTCCGACGTATGGAGGATGAATGTGAGCCCCAAACTCAAACTATTTCTCTGGAAGAGCGCTAACAAAATCCTTCCGGTGGGGGAGAGACTAACGGATAGACACATTCCGGTGAACCCGCAACGCAAACGGTGTGGAGAAGTGGAAACCATTCCCCACATGTTCTTTCAATGTTTTTTTGCTGAACAGGTTTGGCGATCAGCCCCATTCGTCGGCTCACTAGAAACGGGAAGCTGGTCTGAGTATGAGCAAACGTGGGGAAGAATCAAAGACAAAACTTGTCTACCTCCATCCGGCATAACCAAAGGACCCTTATCTCCCTGGATTTTATGGTCCATCTGGGTTAGCCGGAACAGATTGATTTTCGAAGACAAAAGGAGCAAACCAGAGGACACAATCACATCAGCGATTTCAATGGCAAGAGAATGGCTCGACGCACAACAAGTAACATCTCCGCAAAAACAGAGCAACACCCATCAAAAACATAACACAACAGTCGGAGTCATTACATGTCAAACAGACGCTGCTTGGAATGTGGATACCAAATCAGCTGGCTTAAGCTGGCTATTCTTGTCACAAGGGACCATGGCCCTCGAACAAAGCATTACTTCTTCGTTAGTTGGCTCTCCAATAATGGCAAAGGCTTTAGCACTACGAGAGGCAATATACGATTCCTTGGAAAAAGGCTACAAGAAAATGAGATTTGAGTCGGACTCATCTCAACTAATTAACGTCGTCAATTCGGCCTTTCGATCCTGAACTTATATGGCATCATCGAAGACATCAAGGCACTCGCCCAAAACTTCGAAATTGTCTCTTTCGTTTACATACCTCGAGAATTCAATGTAAGGGCTGATAGCCTAGCAAAACATGCGCTTAGTCGCTTGAGTGTAACGTCGGGATAAGTAAGAATGAATGGAAACTACTTTCTGTAAAAAAAAAAAAAGGTTAGAAGACTAAACATTTGTAACAAATTACAATGTTATATCTTATATAATATTATATCATAGTTTTTCTAAACCTAAGCTATGAGAAGCTGTCAACGTGTCTCATAATTTTTTGACATGTGTCATTCTCT